TAAAATTTTGGTTTTTGATTATTTAATAAACCTAACCGGCTCTCTTTTCCAAGTTTGTTAGCAATGCGACTAATAGTACTTTTTGATACATTAAGATTCATTTCAGATAATTCTTGTTGTATCACAGAATACGAATACTTTTTCGTCAAAAGATATTTGACGATCCCTTCGATATTATCAGATATTTTATTACGAGGCATTCGTTTATCTAAAATATAAATATCATGACAGCATCTAGAGTGTCAGGGGAATAAACTGATATGAGGACCATGTGATTTGTATTAGTTAATAACGAAGAAAAACTGCATGCAAATCGTTTCAAAATAAACTGAACGACCTGTATATTAATAAAAAAACAATATAATAATGAATTTTTGGAAGAAATCTACAAAATTAGATAAAGACAAGTTTATCTAAACACAAATATAACCAAGTAAGTTGTGCGTCATTAAGGAAATATTAAGCAGTCGAAATGCGAAAAAGACTCGACTACCTAAAATTATTAAATGAATGTAAAAGTTGACGAACAACTTCGGACGTATAAAAAAAGACGTATAGAAAAGGGCGTACAGAAAAAGGATGTACAAGAAAAGGATGTACAGAAAAAAGACGTATAGAAAAAGGACGTATAGAAAAGGAGCTTATAGAAAAAGATATATTGATTTGAACGTACATGAAAGATCAGACTGACGTTAGATGCATAGATTTTCCGCTAATAACGAAACTTTGATGTTTAGATGTATAGAAAACATACATCCTCAGTACAGTATTCTTTTATTTTGAATTTCGCTGTACTTTGACTTTCCCTAAGAAAAGACTCGGTATTTTTTTGTTAACGTTTTCCGAATAAATTAAAAAGCGGATTATATGATCTAATCACGTTGAGTTCATTGTTGCTTTTCTTGTAATTCTACTAGTGTAGAATTTTAAACAGCAATAATGGTGATGACTAATACCTGACAAAAATTAAATGAGTTGAGCGAAGAACCATTATATAGCTAAAATTCTATTGTCATCGCTGAAGCTGCTGCATCTTCAACTGACGTAACTGAAGTAAAATCTGCAGCTATTTCATTTATAAATTCAAATAAAAAAACTTTTATTCAAAGCAGATGAATATATTTTCGAATTGAATAAAACAATAGCAACTACTAAGTATTGGTTATGTACACTTAATAGATATTCAGTTTACTGCAGATTTAGAAGCTGGATCAAAACAAGGTAAAATAATTGCTATTCAACGTCGTATAGATAATTTTGGTGAACGATACTATGACGATACTATGGAATACTTAGATGGTTTATCATTTACAGTTGCTAAGTGAAAAACATGATATATGATCGAAGTTTTTTTCATTATCTATACTTGATCGCTGTTAGAATGTTAACACTAACCCGCATAATAAAATATGTTCTTTACTGTTCATAATTCTCTTAAACATTCATCGACTACTTTTCATATCGATATTATTTCGACATTTTTACAGTTAACCATTGGTGACGGATCGTCGCTATTCTTTTTTATTTTATATGATGATTCACATCCACACCAACACTCCATCCTTTATCGATATATAAAAAATTGAGTCAGAGTTTAATGAAAAATTGAAGAAATCGTTTATTCCTGAATAAAGAAAAAATAATTGTTTATTAGGTTTATAAAGGAAACTTTCTTCGAATGAAATCTATTAAAATTTGATCAAATAGTTTATCAACTTCATCAATAATTTTACTTTTTGTTCCATTATCTGCATTTAAGGTATTAAGACGACGACCTTGCTTGATTTGACCAAAAGGAAAAGGGAATCTGTTTTCAAGTACTTTTAGAATACAATTAATAATCGAAAGTCCAGTATCATGAGGGTCATTTGATAAACGAAAATGTTCACACACTTGATCAATTGCTTGTTGATCTTTTACTAAACATTGACATTTAGAATTATTATTTTTTGCATGAATTCGCCAAACTCTTAAGCATAATTCAGTTAGAGTTGATACAATATCTTCCCATGTAGATATATTAAATTTTTCTAAACAAGAGATATGACTCCCAAGTGACTTTAATACATTTATACCAATGTCTTCTTTTAATATTAATATATCTAATTTAATATCTTTATATATTGTATTTGTTAAATTCAAATCAGCAATAGGATCTTTTAATATTTGATCAACTGTGATTTCACCTGATTTATCATGATAATATACAGGAGTATGACCAGCTTTTGATAACATTCGAATTGATAAAGGAAAATGATAATTTTCTTCATTATTTTCTTGTGATTTCTTCATAAAAGCTTGTTGCACTTCGTGACGTACTTGATTAAATCTTTCTTCCACTGATCCACCTATTGTAATAATACCATCATATAAACATATTAATTGATCATTTTTCATATTACTCTGATTATTACCTAATAAATGAAATAATGATTGTGAAGAATTTTTATCAATAATATCTTTAAATATAATTAAATGCATTGATGTATATCGAATAGAACCTTCTTTATCACTTCCACGAGTTATTGCTTGAGTAATTAATCCATGTTTAATTTGTTCATTGTGATAATCAGACTTGTAATGTTCAATAATACGTTCTAAGAATTTATCTTCATAAGTATTTGCATGATCCATTTCATATTGTACATAAGTACTTAAATTTGAATGATAATGATCAATATACATTTTCAAATATGATAAAATTTCGTTTGCACGTATTTCTCCAATAACTGGATCAATATTATTTACTTTAACGGCAGCCGTCCAAGCCGAAAAAAACGTTAAAATAGGAGTATTAATTAAAATTTGTGTCGGTACATCTTCTTAAATAAAATAAAAAATAATTCTTATCTTTTATCTTTAAAAATCTTTCTAATACCTGAATGAGATTGATTTAATAAAAATTTTTCTCGCAATCGTAATAAACGTTCTAATAAACAAATACCTGCGACAGCATAAGAAGGTGTGCGCAAAGTAAGTAAATAATTTGTTCCTCCAAGTCCAATACGAATTTCAAGTTTTAAATTTGGTTCACTACAAATTCTCATAGAAATTATTAAAAGATGTTTTAATGATGATACTGAATCTAATCCTATCATTATTCTTCTTTCATCATTCATAAGAGCAATAAAACATTCACATATTTCATTTTCTATACGTTCATGATTATTACATTGTCGTACATTATTATAAAAGTTAAACGTTTTTTGCCATTGAGTTTCCACTTCTTGATCATTTTGGAATACTTTGTCAACTGCTTGTTCAAGAGTTGTTTCGACAATATTCATCAATGACACAGATCTTTTAATCACTCGTTGGAATAATAATGATGCTGTGATTCTTTCAACAGACATGAAAGGTACTTGATCAGATATGGAATCTGGTGACACGCGTTTAGAACTAGAAATGCCTGATTCAGACGATGATCTACGTCTTTGTCTATAAGAGCAATCGATTGGTGAAACATCCATTGATAAATTTCGATTTAATCGATTATTTGAAATTCTATTGTATAATGACATATTTGAAATTTGATCAGAATGAATAGATTTTGTATTATTTTTTATTTTGCTACTGTCTGACATCATCTAAAATAAAAATAGATTAATTGTAAATCATTTTCATGAATTTACTTTATTTTAGATAAATGAATCGTTCAATTTATTTGATATTTATACACTGTTTAATCTAAAATATATAGAATTCTTCAATAGTATTCTACAAAAAATAAAACAGTATACGGGTTATTTCACTTATATATATATATGGCAAATCGGAAAAAACTTGGCACAAAAACAAACAATAGTGGCTAGCACCCACATCTCGAGTAAAACTCTTTTACTCCTTACCCCCCTGAAAGGGCTGGGTGAGGGGGGGGGGATAAGCAAGAGAAAGAGAGACTTTTTTTCCCAATAGTAAATATTATTCATACGTTTAAAGGTAAAATATACGCACACACCCATTTTTATTTTTATTGTGTCATCGACAATATTAAATACGCAAAACTACGTTGGAAAGACTTTTTCAGCAAAATACGCTTTATAGTAATAATGGTAGTATTTTATGTCAGAGTGATAAAAATTATGTGATATTATCAGTTTATGACTAATTTGTTTTCGAATAGGGAATAGAACCTAAAGAAAAATAAAATTTATCAGATAATTATTAAATAATAAATTGTTCTTGATAATATTCTATACAAAATTAATTATTATAACATCGAAAATCAATATTATTTATTTTCTATATATAAAATAAATTAAACAATTACAATTTTCTCAATTTGTTTTTATTTTATTTCGATTTAGTTTCGTTGTTAAAAGTTAATATCATATAACAATTTTGAAAAAATATGAATAGAATAATTATTTAATTTTTTTATTATTATTATTATTGATTAAAATCATTTGGTTTGTCGGTAGTTTCTATTAAAATATTTTCCAAAGATCAAAATAAGGTTACACAAGACCTATTTCTATCATTCGTCTTTCAGGCACATAATAATCATACATGATTTCTATATTTATTTTACTTCATACACTGTGACTCATTTCATTCCTAAAATAAAATTGAATAAACATTCGTCATTTAAGAATTTCGCAGTTGTATATGATCTACATTATCATTAGGAGATTTCTTTGTTTTTTCCTAGTATGCGTAATACACAGTCTTTATAAAAATATATATATATGGCTGATTTTTATACATGTGTGTATGTGTTATTTTCTTCTAGCATTAGGTTTATTGTTAAATTAGTTTAAAAAAATATTGTTAATGGTATACATTTGTGATTATATGGTATAACCGTTTATTTTTTTGGTATCAACAGTGAGAAGCAGAACGAGCATATGTTTTGGTTTTTTTCATTGTGTTCTATCTTCTATGAGATAAGTATTGTCTTTTGTTATATATCACGAAATTTGTATTTATTGTAGAATTTAATAGTATTATAAATGGAGGTTTTTGATAAAAAGTAGAAAAAAAAAGGGTTTTTTTTGTTACCATTAGTCATGAATAAATATTATGATGACAGCGACATTAAAGTATAGACTTTTTGACCTACTTTTATTACTATTATTATATTTGTCTT